TGAAATATTACACTGCACAGTGAGTAATAGGTTTGAGTAATGCAATGTCTAGATGCTGGAACAGTGAGAAGATTCTGAATGTGTATGGAGAAGGGTATATGTGGCTGAGTTGGCATAGGGTATTAGGGAAGTTAGCAGCAGAGCTGAGCGTCTGTAGCCTGCCTGCCATGGTGAAGTTCACCAGGATTCATTAACTGCTCTGTCAGTTCCCCATCAGCTGGTGATTGTGTCCCATTGCCAAGAACACAGACCCCCACCTTCAGTCGCTTAGCTAAATAGGGCTTCTTTCTTTTTTTATTGATAGTCAAATTAGAGTTAGAGACACAGTAAGAAACTGGTACTGATGTTATAACATTGTCAAGGTTAACATTAGTGTTGATGGTAGGGGTAAAAGAAATTCAGAGGTCACCATTCCAGGACTGGTATGATGACTCTACAATGCCCTCAGGGACCTAGACCCCTCCATCTTTCCCTTCAGACTTCATCCTCATTCCATTCGAGAATTTGTATCCACATTTCAAGCAGGAGAAAATGGAAGAGAGAAAAGTAAAAGGCAACCTGACTCTGCCTCCTATTCAGCAGTACCATCCAGCACCTTCCACTTACATCTCATTGGACAGGATTGTGTCACATGGTCACCTGGATGCAATGGATGCTGGGAACTATAGTTTTAACCAGCACTTTGCCATCTAAACAAACACTGAGGAAGAAGAGGAGGAATGCATATTGGGTAGGCAATTGCAATGTCTGCCACAATATTGCCATCTATGGCAAAATACATGAGCATGGAGCCTATGTTATTTTTATTGACATGCTATTATTAGCTATTCCTATTTTATATAAGAATAAGCTGTAGCCGGCACCGGTTTGGCTCAGTGGATAGAGCGTCGGCTTGCGGACTGAAAGGTCCCGGGTTTGATTCCGGTCGGGGGCATGTACCTTGGTTGCGGGCACATCCCCAGTGGGGGGTGTGCAAGAGGCAGCTGGTCGATGTTTTTCTCTCATCGATGTTTCTAGCTCTCTTTCCCTCTCTCTTCCTCTCTGTGAAAAATCAATAAAATATATTTAAAAAATAAAACTCATTTACAAACACTAAAATATAAAAAAATTAAGGTAATTTAAAAAAGAAAGAAAGAATAAGCTGTAAAATAATGCACAGAGATGGGGAGCATCAGCAGTGGCTGGATAACTTGGCCATTGTACATCAACGACCTCATCACTTGAACAGTGCCTTTGTAGAAACCATAAAATAGCCTCAGTTCTTCTGTTTCTCTTTTTATTGGCAGTCACAGCTCTCAAATTAGAGTTGCAGAGAGAACACTGCTACTGGAGCCATAGCACTGTCACAGATTAAAGGTCAAGACAAAGACACATTGTGGGTAAAGAAATGTTTTCCTAAACTAAGCAAACCCTCCCTCATGTCACTTGAATTTAGGCGAAATGAATCCTGCAGCACTTTGGAAAGAGCGGTGGCATTTCTTTTCTTCAGTTCTTAGACTTTCCTAAGCTATTGTATTCAAGAAAGGATGTTTGCTTTCCTGAGTAAAACACAAACTAGTTAAATCTTCACTTTGAGATATGCGCTTCCTGAGGATCTTCACACTGATAGTATCATTTAAGTGGAACACCCAGTCAGTGAGCTTGGTGAGAGATAAATGCTGTCCATCAGTGAAGACCTCCACTGGAACCTCTGGAAGGAAAATGTGCAGTGTGTCCTTAAGAAACGATGAAAGCCCTAGCCAGTTTTGCTCAGTGGGTAGAGAGTCAGCCCTCAGACTGAAGGCTCCCGGGTTCGATTCCAGCCATGGGCATGTACCCGGTTGCAGGACCCATCCCAGCCCTGGTTGGGCCATGTGCCAGAGGCAACCAATTGATGTGTCTCTCTCATAGATGTTTATCTCTCTGTCTCTCCCTTTCCCTTTCACTCTCTCTAAAAATCAATGGGAAAATATCCTCTAGTGAAGATTAACAACAAAAAAGGAAGGCTGAAAAGACCTTTCCCTGCATTGTTGGTAGATCCTGTCTGTCATCTCCCACCCCAGATTTAAAATCTATACCATCAAAATAATGGCTACTCCAGAATCTTATTATTAATAGAATATAGTTGAGTTTCATTTTATGTGAGCCAAGATACCTAGGACTTCCAATCTCTGAAGAGTCTGGGGGCATGCCATTGCAGGAAACCAGGGTTTCTAGATAAATATATTTTGGTAGAGATGGAAAAGTAATTCAATAGTCAGAGAATGTGATTAGTATTTCTTCTTACTTCCCATCTTCCAAATCTTTTATAAATACTGAGCTTAGGGTGGGAGAAGGCAGGCAGAGAGAGGGGAGGATTGGAGAAAGATGGAGAAAGGCCACAACTGCATGCCTAACTTAAGCCAAAACATACTTTAGCCCCAGTCTTTTCCCAGCATTGGCACTTGTGGCCTGAATTGTCCAGCCAATCGCCTAACTCTCTACTTCTCTTTTCATGTGTAGATACAACCCAACCTGCATTATCTTGCTCATCCTGCTGGGAGGATGCAAGATCCTTTATATAATCCGCTCTGTGTTACATGGGGGATCATTGAGCCTCAGAGACGTTGAAGGATTTTCTTGATCCATGACTGAGCCAGGATCATCCTGTGGTGGAGTATCGCATATCCGGAAAAATTCCAGAGCCAGATCAAGAAACCAGTCAGAAGCGATTCTTGTTTTATCAGCTATCTGAGCAAAATGCCAAATAGCAGCAAAAATACTATTCTTATCTCTTCTTCTAAAATATGTGCAGCAGGAGGAAGAGTACTTCATCACAGGGAAAAAGAAAGAGAGCTTCATTTTTAACCCAATGGAGGAGTAACTTCCAGTTGCTGCAGTGCAGTTCAGGCTAGGTTTGCCAGGGATCCCCCAAGCAACTGGCAAGCAAATCCTGGCCCCCTTCTGAGACTTACATTCCCAAATCTTGTCCTGTGCAGTACATTTTCCTTGAGAATCCACTGTCCTCACTAACACTGTTGGGGGGTTTTAGGGTTAGGGAAAAGCAAGGGAACAATCACATTTACTTGAGGAAAGACAAGTAGTATTCTCTCTCTCTCTCTCTCTCTCTCTCTCTCTCTCTCTCTCTCTCTCTCTCTCCTGCAAAAGCCAGGGCAACTCCCTCTTATGAGGATGTGCCAGGAGACAAAAACTATGGCAGAAAGGTGGCTGAAAAGGTTAACCAAGACAATGCCCCCGCCCACATCTCCTGGGCAAAAGAAGAGACAAGCAAAAACATGCTGTGAGCATTCAGCAAACCCTCTGCAACTTCATGTTGTTAAGAGCAGACCGCAGACATGCCGTCTATCCCGATCCTCTTCTTGGCCTCTTGGAACATCCACAAAGATGGTTTCTGTACCAGCGAGTTTATTCCTCAGTCCCATTTCTGTTGGAGATACACAACAATCCCTTCCATCACGTTTGCTAAGAAGATATTTATCTGCTGCATGAGTGTCATCCTCAGGCCATGCTTGACCTTGGGGACTCAGCGTCAAGAGTGTTTTGATACCACACATAACCCTTTGGCTGGGTCAGAAGCACTGTGGTGGGGGGAGGGGAGTGCGTGTGGAGACAGTGTGCTGGAATATACGCTCCAAACCCCAAAACATGCCCAAGAATAACAAGGACATTAACCACTGACCCAAGGGTTGGTGAAATTCTATCTTCACATCTCCCTCCACCAGTAAACATGAAAATGCCATCCCCAAAGGGATGGAGGGAGCCTCCAACACAAGGTCCAGAGAGAATGTGAGGAGAAGGGCTGGTTTGGAAAAGAAGTCCAACAATTTCTGCACTTTTCAGTCACTGGGAAAATGTCCCCAAGCGACAACTAAATAAAGACATTTTTCACTAGCTGGGAAAAACGACAGACTTGCATTTACAGAATAAAGATGTTAAAATTTTAGAATGCCATTTTGTCATTTTTTTTCCCCAACTACCTCCATCTCTTCATCTTCATCTAATACTGTTCTCCCCTCCTTCGCTCATACCAGCCTCACTGGCCTGCTTTTTGTCCCTCATATGAGCCATATTTATTCCCACCTCAGGAACTGTCTTACTTGTTATTCCTTCTACTAGATGTCCTCTGTCCAGATCTTTGCAGGATGCCTTCTTCTCTTGTTCAAGTCTCCTGCCAGATGTCACCTTCTCAGAGGCGTCCTCCAGCTACCTACTAGTGTCCCCAGCTGCTCTCTATTATTTTCTTCTTTCTTTTCTTCTTAGCACTCACCACTCTCTGATCTGATTGATTTCTCCATATATTTACTATTTATATCTTTCAACTAGATGTACACTCCAAGAGAATAGGGCCCTCGTTTGTCTTGTTTATGGCTGTTATCTCCTGTGCCTAACATGTGGTTGGCATTTGTTGATTGGATGAATGGAAGGAAGGAAGAAGGGAAGGAAGGAAGGAAGGAAGGAAGGAAGGAAGGAAGGAAGGAAGGAAGGAAGGAAGGAAGGAAGGAAGGAAGGAAGGGAGAGAGGGAGGGAGGGAGGGAGGGAGGGAGGGAGGGAGGGAGGGATGATTATAAACAATGATTTGGCTCAAGTATTTTACTCGGTTTGGTCAGATCTTTTGCTCCATGACCTGCACCAAAGAAACAAATTCTGGACTATATGATGATAACTTAAGCAGGAGTGGTTAATCAATTGAAGCTGTGAAAAGAAAGCCATAATTTGATTTCAATTCTAAATGAACACCTACACCTTCAAAATAGTGCTTTTATGTTGATGTGCTTGATGTTTAATACATAGCCCATAACTTATTTACCTTCAGAAAATTCCCAAGTAGCAGGCTGTAGGAAACTTCCCGGTGATTTGACTAATTGAATATGGAGAAATTAAACCACAGGTGATGAAAATGAGTTGGGAATACCATCCTGGCTTAATTCCAGCCACTGCCAGTGTCCTTGCTCCCGAATTTAATAGACTGATAAGGATGATGTTTTAAAATCTTATTTGTTCATTTTCTTCTTTGTTTTTAGAATAACCTCAATATGGAAAGTGACTCTACGTCAGAAAGCAGCTTTCCTTTCTCCAAAGAAGCACCAGGGGAGCACCTGGACCACCAGGCTACACACCAGCCCCTCTCTAGACAGCGATTCCAACCAGAGGCTGGGCACCCTTCATTGCAAAGAGATGGTCCAAGATCTTTCCTCCTTGATCTACCAAACTTTCCAGATCTTTCCAAAGCTGATATCAATGGACAGAATCCAAATATCCAGGTAAGGCTGAAAGGTGTGAGAAATGAAACAGTCCATCTCTTTCTTGCCTGATCTGATTTCAAAACAACTCCTGCCTTCCCTCACTTTTCTTGTTAACTCTTTAATGAATCCTGCTTAAGGTAATGTTATCATTGTAAGAATAATGGTGTATTTTATCTATGTAACATCCTTGATTGTGAGATACACCATTATTTGATAAACCACTAAAAAAAAATAACCTAAAAAAAATTGTTCATTAAATTATGACACAGAAATCACTGCATGCCCCAATTAATATGTCTGATGATTATAAGATACAGTCTTATATTAGAGGCATTAAAATGTAAAAACCAAACAAAATAATATGCCCTGAAATTGAGAAAATATGGGAGCTGAGGAAAGGGCCAGCCTAGCATGTGAGTAAATGAGGCAAATCATCGCATGATTTCACATGTGCCCAGGAAGGCCCTCTCCCTCACATGCCTCTCTAGCTTGTCTTGGATACCAGAAATGCCTTCAGGAGGTGACAACACTTCAGTGGCTCTAAAGTGTAAATGACTGATAAAGAAATTTCTATAAGAAGGGAGGTAAGAATAGACATTCCTATGGGAGAGATGAACACACACCACTAAGATGGAATGGGATGGAGCAGGGGGAAATAGGAGACTATGCAAAGGGTGCCTGGGATTGAAAAAGATAGTATTGACCTCCACCAAAATATGATAGCACAGTAGACTACAAAGCAGATGTTGATCAGATTTTACTCTCCCAACCCCCTTATGAAGCACATGTCACTCTTTCAACACTGTCAGCCAGGCAGGCAGACCTCAGGAAGTCACTCTGGTGTGCTCAAGGTTACATGGCTCATAAACTATAGTTGGGGGCTCAAATTCAGGCTCTCCGGCTCTCTGGAATACTCACCCCACCAATTGGTGTTTCAGGGACAGGCTTTAAAGTTTCCATTCTGCTTGGATCTCCCTCTGCTTCTTCCCACAGATGATCCCATGAAATGAAGGAGGCGCTTTCTCCTGAGCAACCTGGTCCAATGTAGCTCTCATTCTCTTCTCTCTTGCCTTCTTCCCTTCTCTTCAGCTTTGCTCTTAATTGTTTGCATTTGGGGAGAGACAGCGTTTCCTTATTCTTTCTCTCTGCATGAGTTTACATGGCAGAAGCTTCCTGATCCTGACCCCAGAGGAACTGGTTCTTAATTAAGTTAATTGTCTCTCTCCCTCAAGATGAACCCTTTCTACATGACACCATTGTAGATCAGGTTTCCTTGACTAGAGTTGCTTTGCTTATAACACCAGTGTCCTGGTGACTACCATATATCTCTGGGAATACACCTCAATTAGGCCAACCCTTACTGCATTAAAAATGCTGGGTTAGGTTCTGAGAAATGAAGAAATGTAAGGCCTTTTTCCTCCAGGAAATGACATAGGTGTGAAAATCCCAGCTACCACTGAAGACTGGGTGGGAGACAAGGGATCATGGGGACAGAGGGGTGGGGTGGGAATCACTATGTTCTATGGTGCACAGACTGAGTAGATGGGCAGATGTAGGGCAGGGCAGTCAGGGTTGATGGTACAGAGGTGGACAATGGTTTGGAGGTCACTCTTTGACAACCCATGCACAGAAATCACTGCATGCCTCAATTAATATGTCTAATGAGTCTGCATTGTGCTCATTGATTAATTAGAAAAACAGGCCTTTTGCTCCACTGCCCTCTCTCCAGGAACTGGCCACTCGGCTCTCTGCTAAATAACAAAGGATCCACTTGGGGGAGGTGCAGATTGGGGGAAAGAAAAAAAAAAAAAAAAGCCCAGACATATCTTTATTGTTGCTCAACATCACTCCCCATCATGCATTTATCTACAGGAAGTGATTTTTCCTTTTTTTTAGATTTCATGGGACCAGACTGCCCTCACCCACAAGGTGCTTAGGCCATGCCTGGAATGACTTTAGACTTCCTATGGCTCACACTTTTCCCCCAGAGGTGGGAAATGTCACTGTGGATCTTATTGCTGAGGACTGAGCTAGGAGAGTAATATATTTAAAAATGGTTAATGTAAAGTTATGAGAATATACTTGGATGCAGGGGAACACAGGTCCTTGGGAATGCTTCCTCTCACAGTAATGTGGCTAAGAGCCAAATTTCTCAGGATTCCTTTTCTCTCTCCCAGATAAATTCATCTATCAGGAAATCCCCATATTCCACCTACATCGCACAGGGACTCATTTAAAAATATTACCCAAATGTTAGGGAAGAACAGTGGTGTAAAGGCAGTTGGGAAACCCACATTACTTTTCCAAAAAGAAGAAAAAGGTGACTGCATAATGCTGAGCCCTCCGCAGCTCCTGTGACAGAGCTATGCGTGATCTCCAGAGAGCAGTGGAGGTTGCTATTCATTTTGATCATCTTAAGCTGTGTTGTTTAGCTGAATCAGAGGTAAAGAATTCTTCAGAATGGTTTCCCCCCAGCTTCCTGAGGACAGAGGGGGCTGCTGGAGCTCACAGGTGTGGAGAAAACCTGAGAGACGAGGAAGCAGAGAATTGAGTGGAGGACGAATTATGAGAAGGCCACACGTGGTTCCTTCTGGCAAGGGCTCTTGGACTTTTATCAAATGCAGCTTCCCCACATGCTGTCACAAAGCTGTGGCTGCAGAAGTAGTACCAACGGAAATTATTTGCCCTCCTCTCCTCTGAGACCCCTGGCCACCTGTTCATATAGACTTAGAACAGGTGAAACGAAATGCAACAATCAGTGCTTTGTTCTCACTCTGTCTTACCCCCTTCACCCTCCCGCCCCCCAGCCCGGGAGCAAGAAATTCACCTCCAGGTGCTGCTTCGGAGAGAAATGCTTTGGAGTACAGGGTAGGAAGAGGAACAGGGCCACGCCTAAGAGGTCCCAGTCTTTTGAGTTACCCTTTGAACAGCAAAACTCACCATGGCCACAAGAACATAGGTTCCCCATAGCTCCAATAACATCTTGCTGGCAGAATGGCTTAGAAACTAATGAAATGCTAACGCAGATACCATGAAAGTGAAAAAATAAAAATCCCGAAAGAGTAGGCCAACGCCATCTTTTTGCCCACTGTCCAACTGGGGGAGTGCCTTTCTCTTTGCACAATCCCTGCTTCTGTTAACCTTCCATAGCAAGTGCAGAGAGTGGGATGAACTGTGTTTTATTAAAAAAATGACCTGTTGGCCCTAGAGAAAAAGAAATGGAGCTACCTTACTGGCCTTCTCTTTCTAGACTACAAAAGGTTAATGACAGTCACTCAAAAAGATGGTTAAAGAAAGAACAAAGCAGCTGCTACCCGTGGAAGCCCCTGCCTTCGGTCTGCGTGGAAGTATGTGTGAATGCACATGCGCGCGCGCGTGCACACACACACACACACACACACACACACACACACACACACACGCACAGTGTTGGCCCCATGCACCACTGCCCTTGAGTAAACCAATTCCCTGGTGGTCCTTTAAAAGATGAGGTACTTCCTAAAAGGGGGTGATGGTTTCCGTGTTGGCAGCCCTCACCCCTTCCTGCGAGCACTCCTCTTTTGTTGAAATCCACTGGTTTGACACGGGCTGATTCAGCCAAGCAGACAGCCCTGCTGGTCACCGAGGTCCCTTGAAAGCATTTTCTCTCCCTGGGGAGCCGAGTGAAGACAGGTGAAGGCCGCTTCAGTGGGTTGGCCTCTGCTGCCAGGGCCCCGGGCCTGTCTCCCCCTTCCTCTGGCAAACTGCCCTTCACCCCCACCTTTTTATGTCTGACTGGAGCTGGGTAGCTGAACAGGAATTCGATACCCCTCTCTCTGAACCACCCCCAACCCTCCAGTGTCTGGAAGCATTTCCCACGCCCCAGGGCTGGGGGCCACTGTCCCTCTGGCCAAACAGCCCACACCTTTCCGAAGTGACAATGCTGAGTCCAGGCAAAGGCCACATCCCATTTGGGCCTCTTGACTTTTAGGAAGGGAAGTGCTTTTAAAAAGCCCTGCTTTGTGCAGCCTTTTTTTTTTAAATGACTGTAAGCCAGGTGGCCTCCATCCCAAGTGGACCAGGCTCTCTGTTTTAAAGACTGGCTTCAGGCTGTGGAAATGGGGGGGGGGGGGGGAGAGACAACCATGTGCAAAATAGAAATAGCCTCAAACTCCTGAACCCAATCTCCATATTAAATTTAAAACAATGCTAGAGGTTGGCTTTTGTTTAAAAAATAAATAAATAAATCAGTCAGGAAAGAAAAGATATCCCCCAGGACAAGTTACACTTGAACTTTCATATCCTTGGCTGGGCTTCAGTCTGTAGCTGATGGTCAGATAGCAAAGACAAAAATCTCTAAAATAAACTCATTATTAGGCTTACTGCATCAATTCATTACCATGGTAGCTAGTCACAAAAAACTATTTCTCTTTTTTGGATCGAGCTGGCATTAGTAGTCATTTCAACCAATATATTTATTTCTTTTCTTCCATTGAGAGAGAGCTTTAAATAGTCATCTAAAGGCCTATTTTTTTTTTCTTGCACAGATGTATTTACATGGCCATGGGCCTCTTGAGTACCACAAGATACAATCAAATGAGTTGGACAGGGCTCTAACTGTTGTATGGGCTTCTACTTCTGATTTCTCTTCCTTCTTTTTCTCTACTATACTCTTGGAATGATAGGTTTGGCTGAGTAACAATCAAAGAAATTTCTGTGCCCAAAGACATGGTCCCTTACACCCATGGGGACAAGGTTTTTGTTCAATTCCTCATTGACCTCTGTGGTTTCATGCAGGTTACTCCACTCTCTATGCCTCGATTTCCTTGCCTATAAAAATTAAAATGATTATATATTTATATATATTAGAAACCCAGTGCATGAAATTTGTACACTGGAGGGGTGGTGTGCCTCAGCCCAGCCTGCCCTCAGCCCAGCTTGCATCCTCTCCAATCTAGGACCCCTCAGGGGATGTTTGACTGCCAGTATGGGATCAGGCCTCATTTATTAGAAACATTTATTATACTTTCTCTGAAAAGCACTTTCTTAGGAAAACAAACCTAAGTCTTACTGATAATAAACTACAATATACAAAAGACTTGACAACCTGAAAAAGAGAATCTTCTAGCTCAATGGTCCTGTAAGCCTTGTGAGGCCTGATCCCACAGAGCAGTCAGACATCCCTCTCACAATCTGGGACTGCTGGCTCCCAACTGCTCACCTGCCTGCCAGCCTGATCACCCCCTAACCACTCCCCTGCAGCCCAATTGCCTCCAACTGCCCTCCTGTGCTGGCCCCGTCACCCCCAACTTTCCTCTCCTACCAGCCTGATTGCCCACAACTACCCTCCCCTGCAGGCCTGGTCCCCACCAACTGCCATTCTTCCCCTGAAGGCCTGGTTGCCCCCAACTGCTTTCCCCTGCTGATCTGGTCACCCCCTCCCCTCCTGGCTTGGTCACCCCTAACTGCCCTCCCCAGCTGGCCTGATCCCCCACAACTGTTCTCTCCTACTGGCCATCTTGTGGCAGCCATCTTGTAACCACATGGGGACAGCCATCTTGTGTGAGGGCAGGATGGTCAATTTGCATATTACCTCTTTATTATATATGGTGTGTGTGTGTGTGTGTGTGTGTGTGTATGTGTGTGTGTGTTACATTGTCAAAGAAGGAGGGTATGTAATCTGGGGCCTAGTCCTTTGCTGGAGACTGTCTTACTGTCCCTGGGTGCTCTGTGTTCCTATGGAATCCATTCACCTCTCAGGGCTTATTTTACTGTCTGGGAAATACCAGCTCATGCCCACCTAGTCATCAAGCTCAGAAGGCTTACAGGACCATTGAGCTAGAAGATTCTCTCTTATTCAGGTTGTCAAGTTTTTTGTATATTGTAGTTTATTATCAGTAAGACTGAAAATTGTTGGTTTTCCTAAGAAAGCGCTTTTTAGAGAAAGTATAATAAATGTTTTAACTACCCAAAGGAAGAAAGAAACTGGTAGTGCTGCCTATGATCCCCACATCTGGATTTTGGACAGAATTACCCAAATTGGCAGTGATATAGAGCTCTGTTTCTTGAAGCTGATGAGACTCAGCCAGAAGTTGGGCTCGGATATTTTGAAAGAGTTTTCTTTTTTTTATTGTCTTGGTTCACAGTGTGGAAAGTCCAGAAAAAACAAATGTACTTATATACTTCAATTATGTGCATCAAGGAAAAGAAAGGACAGTAAGATCTCAAGGCTTTATCAGCTTGGAAAATCTGCTGTGCTCACTACCACACCTTAAGCTCATCACATCGATTATTGTTCAAGACATTTTTATAAAAGGACTCTTTGATGCCAAAGAACATACAAGTTGAACGAGAGCAATAGGAAACATAAAACTAATCCCCATCATTTGAGAAGTCATTGATCATGCTCATTAAGTCTTTTTAATTGTATGCCTATGAAATTTCAGGTTCAAGATTAGATTTCTGCTTTTGATATCAGTATGAGGTTTCCACATTAACTGTAGGGAAGGGCGGACCCTAAGGTTTGTGTGTGGGGGGGGTTTGTTTGTTTTTTTGTTGTTAATTCAGTTGAGGCAGTGGCTCAAAATTAAAGGGGAAAAAGAAACCTCTAAACTGTTGAGATTTAGTCATCGATATAGTTTTTGGAGTAAATTTGTATTTTGCTACTCATTGCCTGGCCAGGCAACAAATCTATTTTGTTTGGATCTGAGCACCAGTTTGGAAGAAAAAGAATTATATTGACGGTAATAGCTTAAAACATGAAATTGTTTTTATTCCCAGTTTGGAGAAATTGCAGGGCATGTTTTGTTTAGGCAATCCCTTTGACTCCAGTCTGAATACAAATGGAATACCAAAACTGTTGGGCATGTTCCCCCTTATCTCCTACCCAGAGACTGATTTCATTACCATAATTGCAGGCTTGCCTGGCTCTTGGCAGCTTCTCCCCTCCAAGACCCTTAACAGCCATGCAGACGATTGTTGAGGCTCAGTTGTTCTGTCTGCAGGCTGAGGGGGACGATTGTTGAGGCTCAGTTGTTCTGTCTGCAGGCTGAGGGGGACGGGACTGCAGAGGAGAAAGATTATGCCTCCAAGGCTCAGTAGCCTGTCACTCCCCAGCTGTGCACTCCTTCTGCACTTGTCCTTCCAGAGTTGTGTGTGGGTCCCAGTCACTGTCATTTCCCAGCAGCCATCCATCCTAGCAAACAGCAATGAAACAAGATATACGATGCATTCATTTTCTTCTTCTTTTTTTCTTTTTGGAGGATTACTAAAGATTTCATCATTGTTTATACATATGCAAATGATGCTTATAAAATTGGGGTAATGGTGGTAGCATGGAATAAGGCATCTAGGTATCCCACACCAGAGGAACAATACACTTGATCTGCCGCAGCCCAAGTATACTCTGGTATTGAAGGTCACACTCTTGGTCTTGTGTTTGGACCACACCAGGCCACAGCCCAGGCTCACCATCAGCTGGGCAAACTTCCTTGGCATGGTAAAGTGAGCAGAATGCAAACTTTCCCATTCCTAACAAGAAGGAAGAGGCTGTTGTCTCAGGATGGGCACACCCTGGTGCAATTTGGCAGAGCATACAAGCAACTCTCTCAAATGTCGGGTTAGGGCAAAACTAGAAATCCATCTGCCCAGTACATCTTGCACTGATTACTTGGAGCACGTGTTTCTGATTCATTTGCACATAACTCATCCAGGGGGTGTTGCAAGAGCTATGCGATGGCCAAAGGAACCCAATGAGTTTTTATTATATTTTTGAAACAAGTTTCTCTACGATGATTGTCTCTTAGAGCCAAGAAGCTGCATTCTTCCAGCCCCATGACTTCCAAACGAGGCTCCGTAAATTAGAGAGCAAGTTCTAACCTTGGCTCTGGGACTATCTGTTTGGAACCTGAGGGTTAGTTGAGGGATGTGTGCTCTGGGTCTGGACCTGAGGGCAAGTGAAAATCCCAGCTGTGAAAGCCTGGACCTTGAGGACCTTATGTTCACATCTCTACACAACTTGTGATACCCAGCATCACCGGCTGTGGCCTCTTTGCTCCTTTGGTTGCATGAGGGGACAATACCTCTGTTCCTTACTTGTTGAGAGGGGCAGTGTGGCAAAGAGAGTGGGCTCCAGAGCTACACTAGCCACATCTGCCAGATATTAGCTGTGTGACTTTAGGCAAGTTGTTAACTTCTCTGTGTGCCAATTTTCTCTGTCTATAAAACGCTATCTATTGCTGCCTGACAATCATCCCAAAACTCAATAGCTTGAAATAGCAACCATCAGATTGCTCTTGGTCCCTATAGGTCAGGAATTGGAGCAGGGTTCAACTGGCAGAGCTCATCTCTGTACCACATGATATCCAAGGGGATGACCCAACCGGGCTGCAGGATCCAAAATGGCCCCCCTCATATAACTGGGACCATGGAGCTGGCTAGTGGCCAAGGAGCCTCAGTTCTCTTCGCTGTGGCCTCTCCCTTCATGTAATCTCTATGCTCATAGTCATCTGGGCTGGGCTTCCTTACAGAATGGTAGAAACATTCCATGAGCATGAAAATGGAAGCTGCAAAACCTCATGAGATTTGTCTCATTGTAACTACTCCCACAGTCCACTGGACAAAATATGTCATAAGGCCAGCCCAGATAAAAAGGGAGAGGAAGTCAACTGCACCTCTTGATGGGAGGTATGGCACACACGTACAAGGATGGGAGGGATTATCTCCCGGACCAATATTTCAGATCATCAATCATAGGGGCCAATCAAACTTATAAGGTTGTCATGAGGATTAAGTAAATTAATATATGGAAGAGCATTTAGAACCATGCTTAGTACAGAGATAATACTAAATAAGTGCTCAGTTTTATTATAATTATTCTTGAGTCACTTAAGAAACATATATAGTACATGTTTACTCCTTGAATTAGAGACTTTCCAGCTATGTAGTCTTCAGTAAATCAGTGACCCTAGTGATGAATTGTCTCCTTCCACCCAAGGCCCATGTACTTCATTCTCTCTAATCGTGGGGTTCATTTGGGCCATCCCTGAATGTTTTCCATTCTGTATCACCATGCAGTCTCTGCTGTCCTTCATAAAGGACACATCCATCGTTTGCCTCTGGTATCCCAGACTTTCTTCCAAGGGTCACCCAGCTTGGAGGCTATTGACTCCTCATTGACCCTGGCCTGTTCTGAATTCTTCAGGTCACCATAGAGGTGGTGGACGGTCCTGACTCTGAAGCAGATAAAGATCAGCATCCGGAGAATAAGCCCAGCTGGTCAGTCCCATCCCCTGACTGGTGGGCCTGGTGGCAGAGGTCCTTGTCCTTGTCAAGGGCCAACAGCGGGGACCAGGACTACAAGTACGACAGTACCTCAGATGACAGCAACTTCCTCAACCCTCCCCGGGGGTGGGACCGTCCGGCCCCAGGCCACCGGTCTTTTGAAACCAAAGAGCAACCAGAATATGGTGAGTTTACCACCCAGTAATATAAAATTGGTGGGGAGAAAAAATGAGGATGATGAGGAAATGGATCCAAGTAAAACCCAGTTTACAGTATGTGGCTTTTGGTCTTCTATGAGGCGTACCTCATAAAGACTCTATTCCGCAGAAGCCCCAAGGAGGCACCAGCAGCCACATTTTTCTGGAAAGACTATAATTTTAAAATCACACCAATTATCCTAGGAGAGATTTTTTTTTTTTTTTTTGGTCAGGGGTCTTTGAGGTTCTTCTTTTTTCAAAAAAATTTTTTGTTTATAAAAAGAAAGAAATCAGCAAATCAATTCTCTTGTATATTTTACTGTAAAAATGTATATTGAAAAATAATTTGATAAAAGAAATGAATCGGCTACTTTCTTTGACTAGGCCACTGTTATGTTTGACATTGGCAATGGTGAGGCCCTTAAGAATCCACATGAACATATGCTTCAAGGGTTGTCCAAATGAGACCTCCCCACCAATAAATTTTAAGATCCCAAGTAGGGACTTCTACTGTCTCATGTTTTAGAGTAAGGTGAAGCAACAAAACTTTCACATTCAGTAATTTAAATAATAGAAGTTCATTTTTAATTTGAAATGGGAGACAGGATTTGGGGAATTCAGCTCCACTCAGTCATTCAAGAACCTAGGCTCCTTCTATGGTGGCACTCCTCCAACTGTTAGGGCCTGAGAGTTATCCAATGGATACTCTATATCCAGCTCAGCCAAGTGGGAAAATGCAGCCGGAAAAAGGTACACATGCTATTAACCTACTCAGCTTGTAGATAACACACATTACATCTGCTCACATTTTATTGGCATGACCTGATGATATGGCCACAACTAGCTGCAAAGGAGGCGGGGGAATGTATTCTGTGTGTCCAATAAGAAGAAGCAGCCTTTGTGAGAAATCAGACAGTGTGTCTTTTGCTATAGAATATTTGCAGTCTTATAAATACATCCATCATTGGGATATTCTGTGGCTTTATCATCATCAGATGTAGGTACAAACACAGTATGATGAGGATGACTTGTCATGAACTCTCATCCTTACATCTGTGTTTCAGCAGCAAGTTTTATGTTGGAGACTTATTTATCCCCACTAAAAAACTTCCAAATCAGCAAGATAATTTTTTTCTAGCTGCATCATTTATTTGTTCAGCATATATTTATCTATCTTACATCTATCTATCTATCTATTTCCTCACCTGGATATATATTTCTATTGATTTGAAAGTGAGAGAAACATCGATGTGATAGAAAAATTGATTGGTTGTCTCCCACACATGCCCTGACTGGGGTCAAACCTACAACTTAGATATGTGCCCTGACCAGGAATTGAACCTGCAACCTTTTGATGTATGAGACAATGCTCCAGTCAACTGAACCACCAGGTTAGGGCTCAACAGACATTTATTAAGAGCATATCTTGTGATCAGTATTATGTTAGGTGCTGGGAATAAAAAAATGAATAAGACACAGTCCTTCCCTACAGCAGGCATCACCTATGTGTGGACAAGGGGAGAAAAATTAACTGATTAAACAAAATAGTGCCATTGTGGAAATACACATCAAGTGCTAGGGGAGCTGAAAGAAAGCTCTAGCCAGGAGACTCGTGAAAACTTCCGCATTCCCAGGGGAAGTCCAATTTATCTACTTTCCAGAAAGAAGGATTTGGAATAGTAGCCAACATACAGATAGCCTTTAACATGCACCAATCCTTCTTCATGACATCTAACATGTAGCGCTCATTTAATAAGCTCTCTGAGCCAGGTACCCCATTTTACAGATAGGGAACCTGAAGCCTGAGAAATTAAGAAACTTGACCTCAAGAATTTATCTCAGTCAGTTGGTCCAAAGTCTGTCCTCTTAATCACTATGTTATTCTGCCTCTCTTGTGTAGGGATGGGGGGAAACACATCCTTTAGGAGAGGAGAATGGATCTAGAAATGGTCACTTGGATTTGGAAGATAGAAATTAAAGATTGGAAAGTACTATTGAACAAAGAAACAATGCACACAGAATCCTGGGCACTAGCCTGACATTGCACAGCTTTGTGGCTAAACCTGTTTGCCCAGCCCACACAGAACATTTTTTCTATGAGTGGGGCCTAGACCCTTTGCATCAGAATTTCTTGGTTGCATGTTAAAAAAAAACACAAAACAAAACAAAACAAACAAACAAACAAAAAAACACCAATCCTAGCTCCAACCCCATCCCTCTATCCTAATGGTTCTCAAAGTGTGGTCCCTAAACTGGTGGCATCAGCATTATCTAGAACCAGGATAAAAATGCAGATGTGCAGTTTCCTGGTCCCCGGGCCACCTGAATTAGATATTTTGAGTGTGGGTTCCCAAAATCTATGTTTGAATGAACTTTCTAGGGGCCTCTGGAACACTGAGTATTCTAAATCAACAGTTCTCAGTTGCTCGTTATGCTCACCTTGGGAATTGTTTGAAATCCTAGTGCTCAGATTTTTCTCACCAATAAGTTGGGATCTCTGAGGTGGAGCCCATACATCTGAGTTTTTAAAGCTCCATGAGTGACTCCAATGTGCAGCTCAGGTTAAAGGCTACTGCCTACCTTCTACTAAACCAGAATGTCCAACAGCGAGATGTAGGCTCAGTCTGTCTTTGTTTCTTTTTCCAACCAAGGTCAGCAGGCTCTCCCCATGCTCACTGAATTTTGAAGACTAACACTAGAAACAGCTCTTCCACTAAAGCTTTTACAGAGTGCCCTCAGTTGAATTTATGAACATTAAGAACATCTTCTATTTCAATCTTGAGGATAGAATTTGCTTCTGCTGGAGCAATTACGATGGCTGCCTCAGCCACCCTCACCCCAGCTTTCTGGGCCTATGATACCCACAGAGTGCCTTGCATCTGAATCTTGCAGCATCCCTTGGCCATGAAGAAACTCAATCTTTTGTGATTTTGGAGTCTCTCTTAGTAACTTCCTTATCATTAGACTAGATATCAGGATTGCTATTTTATAAAGAAAAATGTGTCCCTTGTAATACTTCTAAATCAGTGCTTTTTAGACTTCAATATGCACACAAAAAACCTGGGGGTCTTGTTAAAGTGCAGCTTCTGATGCCATAGATGTAGAAAAGGGCGGGAGCTCAAGTGAGGCTGACACCGTTGGCCTTTGAGCCACACTTGGAGTAGTGCCAAGACTCTTAGCATGTCACAGATGCTCAGTAGTATTTTCAAAAGGAGTGAAGTATTGCTTCTGAGACTGGCTCACAGGGAACGTGTAATTTTCAGAATTCCTTACAGCATTGGCTGAGTTGAGTCCTCTTTTATTTCAATCAGCAAGAAACTATAGTGCCAACCTAACAGGTTTGGCTCAGTGGATAGAGCGTCAGCCTGGGGACTGAAGGGTCCCAGGTTCAATTCCCGTCAAGGGCATGTACCTTGGTTGTGGGCACATCCCCAATAGGGGGGGTGCAGGAGGCAGCTGTTTCTCTCTCATAGATGTTTCTAACTCTCTATCCCTCACCCTTCCTCTCTGTAAAAAAATCAATAAAAAAAAATATTTTTTTAAAGAAACTATAGTGCCATTTCCAAGTATGTAACCCTAGATTAGATGCTGTGGAGGATACAGTAAGTGAGGACACTGCTCAGGAAGGAGAGACTCATGCAATGACAAAGCAGAACAAGTCACTGCACCTAAAGTGCCTGCTCTCTTGTCTGAGACAGGCTGAAATTGCTACAGGAATTGGTCTTTCTAGAGGATCTTGTTCTCAGATTTTTGAAGGTAGGATTTTAATAAGAATTGAAATGTATGTGGCCAAAAAGTATTTCAAATAATTCTAGGTGAAATAAATAAAAATAGTATGGCATCTTTAGAATAAATTATAAGGTACATAACAGAAGTTAGTTTAGACCTAACTTGGGATCATGGAAACATGAGCAAGCTCAACTTTGGACTGTATGTGTTTGAGAATCGCATTTTAAATACCTTCTGTGTAGAAATGGAGAGTCTCACCCAGGCAACAAAAGAGTTCAAATAAACGCCTTTCTGTTAAATAGAAGTATACCATTCCCAAAGCTGTTCAGAACAACCCGAAAAAATAAACTTAATGGGTACTGCGTATTGTAACCGAGTTTGAGACTCAATTCTTTGCAATTCTTTAACTGATCATGATCCTATTTTAATGGATTTCAGTGGGTGTTTTTTTTTAAGGGCTTTCCTTTGTAATGTTAAATTGTGGCCACATAAGTGGGTGTCTTAAAGAAAGGAGGCCAATATGGGCCAGAAGTAGAATTGCTAGAATGCCAGAATATAGAACAGGATATAGAGTAGGAGCTGACAGACCTCAGACCTAATCCCGCTTCTGCCAAGTTTGAGCTGTGTGGCCCCAGGCAAGTACCTTAATGTCTCTGAGCCTCAGTTTCCTTACCTGTAAAAGGAAGCTATTTCCACCTACCTTGCAGGATTGTGACAGGAGTTAAATCAGTGTGTTAAGCAGGACAGCTGGTGAAAGCAGGCCCTCAATCATTGGTAGCCACTATCTACTAAGATTTGTGGTGGAGGCTTGCCAGGAGCTGACTCAAGACCCAAGTCACTTCAGTTGCCCAAACATCATGACTGGGCCACTGAACTCTAGTGTTTGAAACAGTATAATGACTACTTTAAATTTTCAAATGACATCCTTGAAAACCAGCTGTCACTCACTGTACTGTGTGCATTGCTTTCTTCCCTCACTGAACAATTGAATGTCATAGATAGGGGCTGTCAAATCTCAGGGATTGTTTTTTTACTGTCATTATCGCCATCTTTGCAGTTGCTGCTGCTTATGTTCAGTTTCTGCTCTGAGCAATGCTCCCTTCCTGGTAGGTGAGTGGATGAGAACTAGTGTTTGATTCTAGCAGGAAGGACTCCTGCCCTCAAAACTTGGTTCACTGTGAGAAGTTCCCTTTCTGTCCTCTGAACACATTAAACAAATAGAAATCCCCAAGGAGAGGGTCTTTGCTAGGGTATTCATCTGGGACAGCATGCTATGGAGGCCTAGGATTGTGAGCTGACATATACACTTTCTTAGGAGGTGGTTTTATTTCATTACTAGCCCTTTAGAAATGACTAAATGCCTGGTGATAGAATGTTCTGTGCCAAACTCTGAGGGTTCCGTATAAAAAATGTTTGGAAGATAAATGACTTCGTGAGCATCTAAAATAAAGGCATGAAGAACCCACTTGCTAGGATGAGAACTTCTTCATGGTTCTGGACTCTGCTAGCCATCAAGAGAACGTATCTTGGGGGGAATGTGATGGTATATGTATAATAGTTAATATTTGTTGCTTCAGAAAACACCCCAAAATTCAGTGGCTTAAAAGAACAAATGCATTACCTCTCAGCAGTTTGCAGACTGTTTGAACTGCTCTTCTCTACTCTGGGCTAGCTGGGGGAGTGGGGAGTAGAAGGGGAGGAGGGTAAGGTTGGAGTCCAGGATGGCTTTATTCACAATTCTGGCACTCCAGCTGGGCAGCTGGGGAGTGAGATGGCTGGGCCTCTCCCCAACTGCTTCCTCACCCTTCAGACCAGCCCCAGGCTCCTCACATGGTAGTTGAAGAGTTCCCTGCAACAAGAGGCCAATCCCTAATACAGGAGCCCTCTTGCAGCCCCTGTTTGCATCATGTTTGCTGTTTTCGAATTGGCCAAAGCAAGTTTGGTGGGCCGGGCTAGGGTCAGCATGAGAGCAGAGTAAGCAAAGGGAAGTGCAATCATGGACATCATTTTTTACATAATCTGACAGTTACTGACACCCAATGATTTTGATCCAAGAGCCCAAAACAAGAACATATCTAATGCAGAGGTTCTAATATAAGCATCATGGTAAGTTTAATGCCAAAATCTCAAAGTTCAGGGTGACATTGCCTAAAATCAGCTCTTCGTATTACTGTCACACTGAGGAAAGGTTGCATGAGATTTCTAGATAGTTGGGGCCCTGTTGCTTCCACTGAGTCAAGCAGGACACCTCTTGGCATCATGGGATTGTATCCTGTGCCTGTACCATCCCACAGTTGACATGGACCCTACCTTTGTGGTATAATAAGCTTTTTCTGTTTAACCCACTACCCCCTTCCTATGAACCTAAAGACATTATAATCTCTGCTTGTGACTCTGTGGTTGTTCCCTTTAATAAACCTGGCATCGTAGGTACATGTAGGTTGTGGTTGAATGTGGTCACATGTGCATATAACCCTTTGCTCCCACTGACAAGAGTACAGACACATGGTTGTTCTGGACACCCTCTGGTGTTCCTGGTGAAATTAGCAAGAGATCCCAGACTGCAGAATCTCTGAGGGAGCAGCAGCAGCCTCTACCTGTGTCCCTCCGGAAGCATCCATTTCTGCTGTTCATGCCTCGTAAGAGAGGGGAGTGAGGAGGAAGGCTAAGGCTGGGGAAGCAGGCCCAGCCCCGTCACACCAAGCAGTCGTTTCAAACATCTGCTTGGCCATGTGATTGGAAAACCATTTCTTAGAAGAAAATCAAAGTTTGGAAAATCTTGTTTTGGGAAGAGAATAGAAATGAACTGGGGATCCCTCAGGGCAGGCGATGTGTGAGCAAATGCTCTACTCCGGGTTAGGGAAGAGAACTCCATGAATCACACCCCCTCCCCCCACCCTACCTCTGCTGAATGGGCTGAGGAGACTCGGGGGCCCTGTGTTTGCCTGAGGAGTGTTCAAAGAGAACGCCATATAAACAACAGCCTGGGAGGCTGGCACAGGGCCCACAGTTCAGGTAGAAACATGTGTGGCCTGCATTCTTGCCCAGCCTACATAGTAACAATCACCAGGACCTGTTATGAATGGAGAGGACCTCTTCCCTGCAAGGCACATGCCTATTCCTCTGTGCTTGGCACCCACAGAGGCCCAAGGCTCTAGAAGCATTTGGCTAACCCAGGAGAAATTACTGCTGAGTGGAGATTCTTCAGAAAGAGTCAAGCTTTTGAGATTAAGAGTTTAGTGCTAGAGCCCAAGTGTTCCTTTCTGTCCCCATTATGACCTTAAATAGTCACCCAATCGCTCCAGGGCTCAGGTTCTTATTTTTAAAAAGAAGAATTTACTGTTGATAATACACAAGCCTCTCACAACCTCTCACTATCCAGACCCCCTTACCCTGATCTGCTTCTCCTTTCATGTCATTCACAGACTTCTAATCTGCTGTATAATTCACTCATTTTTTGTTTACTAATCATTGGCTGACTCTTTGCACTAAAATATTAGTTCCACTAGCACAGGGAATCATTGAAAGTTTTGTTTAATGATACACCCTACACCCATAGAATTGTGCCTGGCATGCAATAGGGGCTCAATAGGATGGATGCTGAGCAATGACCTCAAAGAACCATGTAGCTTCACCATTGATTATCTGTTGTCTACTCCTGTGTAACAAAACATTCCCGCACGTCATGGCTGAAAACAGCAGCACTTAATTATTTCTTATGACCCCATGGCTCGAGAGTTCAAGCAGGGCCACACTGGGCAGTCCCTCCACTTCTGAGGGCATCAGCTGCATTCAGCTGTCCATTGCAAAGGGCTGGAAGTTTCATGAAGGCTTCATTCGCATGTTTAGTGTTTTGGTGGGCCTTCATGTGGCGTCTCTCTTTCCAAGTGGCATCCTATAATTCACAGGTTGAGCCTCAACTGGATTCCGCAGAGCAAAAGTCAGGCCTCCTAAGGCCAAAGCTAGCACAGATTCTAGGGGACACAGCCTCTCTCTCTCTCTCTCTCTCTCTCTCTCTCTCTCTCTCTCTCTCTCTCTCTCTCTCTCTCTCTTACTATAAATGTAGTAAAAAGAGAGAGAGAGAGGTAAAGAATTAATGGTGGCACAGGGAGGTAAAGAATTAATGGTGGTCATCTACATACCTATCATATTATTTCATGATCCTATGCTCTGCAAATGTATGCATTCTCAATAAGCACTCACTCGGCACCTGTTGGAACTGTCAGGCCTTAGTCATGGGCTGACCACGTCAGTGCCCAAATCCTCAGACAGAGTCACTGCCTGCATGAGGTTCATTCCTAAAATGAACCCTGAAGCTATAAGCCTTTTGACTCCAGCAGGCATCTAGGCCCCTCCAATAGTGACAGTGATGCAGGGAGACTATTGGCAGGCTACTTGTTGGGTGAGTTTGGGGACTCTTTTGATGAGGCTATGACCATCTCTCTGGCTCCCTTCCAGATTCCACCGATGGGGAGGGCGACTGGAGTCTCTGGTCTGTCTGCAGCGTCACCTGTGGGAATGGCAACCAGAAGCGGACCAGGTCCTGTGGCTACGCGTGTACTGCCACAGAGTCTCGAACATGTGATCGTCCAAACTGCCCAGGTGGGTTTATGCAGGGCTGTGGCTCCAAGTTCAAGTTCAGTCTTGTTCAGACTTAGACAAGAGACAAGTAATGAGCTTACTGGGTGAAAGATGTTGGAGGTGAAAAATGATTGTGACTGTCAGTAGCAGTAGTTGTCACACTCCAGCCTGTTTTTGTGTGGTCCACACATGTTTAAAGAGACATAAAGAAGAAGGAGGGGAAGAAAAAGAAGTAGAAGAGAAGAAGGATAAAGAGAAGGAAGAGTATGTGACCAAGACCATATGTGACCCACAAAGCATGAAGTATTTACTAGTACTCTCTGACCCTTTACAAAAAGTTTACCAACTTCTCGTCTGTAGTTTTACATTCACTGTGTGTTCCCCACTTCTAAATAGAATACCAATCTATAATAATAGAAGTGTAATATGCTAATTAGACCAGACAGCCAAACAACTTTCTGGACAAAGCTGGGTCTGCACGGGCCAAGGCAAGCTGCCGTAGCTGCAAGGGCTGAGCCCCTTGCACAAATTTCGTGCATCAGGCCTCTAGACTAAAATAATATCTTATCTTAGGCTCTCCCAAGAAACCACATATTCCAAATAGCTTCATCTCAAAGAAATTCGGGCACAGAAAAGTTAATTTCTGCACCCAGGACTTCCATTTCCTACCCCTCAACTCTGCTCTCAAATTGTAAGGCTGAGATTTGGATTAAAAGAGAAGCGAAAGAGTTCTAGATGATTTGTCTCAGTGCATAGAGCATTGGCCCACAGACTGAAGGGTTCTGGGTCCAATTCCAGTCAAGAACTAGAGAAAGAGATGGGGGAGGAGAGTGCGGGAGGGGGGGTATCTACCTAGGTTGCAGGCTCAGTTGGGCACATGTGGAAAGCAACCATTTTATGTGTCTCTCTCATATCAATGTTTCTCTCTTTCTCTCCTCTACTGTCTCTAAAAATCAATGGAAAAATATCCTTGGGAGAGGATTAACACACACACACACACACACACACACACACACACACACACACTATATATATATATATATATATATATATATATATATATATAGCTAATATACAAAGTGTCCCCTCAGGAGTTTGACCAGGAGACTGGGTGTTCAATTGCCGCCATTTTTAATATTGCCTCCTCATTTTCTCTCACACGGAGAGCAGTGTGGCTGGCAATCCTGCCCCCACATTTTCTTCTTATCAGACCTTGCCTTCCTTCCATCCTTTCTGCCTCTCTGTTCCTGGCTCTTCCAGCATTTCAGGACTCTCTTGGGACATGAAGGAATTTTTTACAGGATTTCTTTCCTTATTTGGTGGGTTGATTCTCAACTCTATTGAAAAGAATCGTGGGGCAGTTGATCTCCTGGCCTGGTAGTGATTGCATTATAAAAGCTTGTCCCATAGGTAAACCCTATAAGTAAGTTCAAAGGGCCTCACCTACAATCAAAGAAAGCCTCTTAAAGGAAATCAATTCATGCCTAATAGACAGCCAATGATCTCCAATCTGTCTACATCCCACAACTTCTGCCTCTTTGACTGCCTCAGCTTGCACAGGATTCCTGTCTGTAAAGGAAGCCGGGGTGGGGTGGCAGTTTGGAAGGGGAGGAGAGCCAAGAAGTTTGAGGCAAGCTGGGTTCGGTCCCTCCGAGCAAGTAATGACAAGCCAGCTTACTCTTTTTGAAGCATTATCAACAATGCTAAAAATCTCAGAATAGGAGATAGCTGGTCTTTGGCTACTGCATCCTCAAAATGAGCTAGACAAATATTCAAGGAACAACATCAGCTAACTCTTGCTACTTACTACTTAGACTAAGTGCCTTCTTTACACATAACTCATTTAATTCCTTCAACTCTGTCTGGTGGGTCTTTATTTCTCCCCATTTTACAGATGTGAAAATAGTTACACAAAGGTTAAGTGGCTTTCCCAAGGTCACACAGCAGGTAATGATTGAACCCAGTCAGTCAGTCCATCCTTAAGACTGGTATTGACCACTAGACTGGTATTGGCTACTGCCTCTAGTTTAGTTTGTCATCCTTACACCACCAGGCAGACAACCCTTTTGATATGTGTCCCCCACTGCCCTAAACTCCACTCTGGGACCTAGTAACTGAGCTCCTTAGGACTTGGTCAGGCACATTTGGATCTGATTTCATGCTGCACATGGTATCTGGGGTTTTAATATATTTTATGCTCTGCTACCTGCTTTTTACTGTTTCCTCTGTTGGCAAGTTTCTACCCATGAGTAGTAATGAACACAAAAAACGGCTTTGTTGAGGTGTAGATTTTTTTTTAATTGATGGGGCAGGGGTGGGGACTTTTTCCATATAACTGATGGGAAATGAGCCCTGTCTGTCTTTAGGAATTGAAGACACCTTCAGGACAGCGGCCACTGAAGTGAGTCTGCTTGCTGGAAGTGAGGAATTTAATGCCACCAAACTGTTTGAAGTTGGTAAGATTTTTTATTATTTTTTTTCAAATATTAATTTAGTATTTTGGGCATTCCTTTTGCTTTTGCAATGTCATCCTCAGATCCATTTAAATGTTTCCTTTTCCTCATACGGAGTCCAATTCTCCCAGCATATTTCTTGCACAAGGTTGTTTCTTAATCCAGTACTGCCCCCGTTTTCTGATCTGTGAAATGGTATGAGGAACTAGTGCCTACTTTATAGAGTTATTGTAGAATTAAATTAGTTCATATTTATAAAGTGTTAGAACACATTCCTCACACTAGACATTTACATAAATTTGATGAATAAAAAGAAGTCAATGGATATCCTTCAGGTACATGACTTTTGATGACCTGCCACTCTGGAGGGAAAATACAAGGCCATTTTCTGGAGCTGCGCTGAATTTTGTTTCTGAAGACCCTGCCCTCTGAAGGAGACCCCCACTGACTTTGCACACACACTTCCCAGGGTGGAATCTCCACTCTCTCAGCATCTGCTCAGTAAGGGGCTCGAGCTGGAATTGTAGAACTCAGAGCCAAAAAGAGCCTTAGCACATCATTGTGGGCAACACCCCACCCGTGTCCTCTCTGTGTTCCCTCCCCATTCAATCCTCATCTCACTTCATGAGACAGACACTGTTACATCTTCAGTTTGGCGATGAAAGAACTGAATCACAGTGAGGGAGGATAGCTTGCTCAAGGTCACAGAGCTACTAAATAGTAGATTCAGGGTTCGATCTTAGGCAGTCCAGCACAAGAGCCCCTGCTTTTCAAGGAGGCCAGGCTTCACTGAGCTCCTGAGAGATGCCCCATCTTGCTTCCTCATTCCACTGAAGAGGACCCCGAGCTCTCCTCCACGCTGCCCGCCCCCATCCCGGCCACTTGATTTCCACTCATGACACCACCAGCCTCCCAGGCACCTGGGTCGGAGCTGGTGAGTCATCTTGAATGTCCTCCTCCCATTACCCCCAAGCCCACCAAGACCTAGCAGCCTTCTTTCTCTGTTAGTCACACCTGCTTTCCCCTCCCTGGACTCTTACAATTGATATCAGCACTGAATATATCTTCTGACTGTACAGCTCAATTAACTCACTGTGGCTCAAAAACCTTCAGTGGCCCAGCCGGTGTTGCTCAGGGGGTAAGCATTGACCCAGGAACCACTAGATCACTGGTTCCAAACCCAGTAGGACACATGCCTGAGTTGTAGGCTTGATTCCCAGCAGGGGGCATGCAAGAGGCAACTGATCGGTGATGTTTTTCATTAATGTTTCTACTCTCTATTCCTCTCCTTTCCTCTTTCTCTAAAAAAATTCAATATAAACATAGTTTGTTTTTTAAAATCTTCAGTGGTTTCCTGGTGCCCTCTGAACAAGCCTCACCTGCACTGAAGATGACCATGATCTGATACACCTGCTTCCCCATAACCTTCATTGAAACTGACTGTGTTCCCTATAGCCAGACAGCCTAGCAGATTTCTTTCTGCTCAACCTTAGTTTGCCCAAGTGGTCACTCTTTGCCTGTTCACTCAGCCAGTTGTTCCCATAGACTCTGGCATAGAGCATTGCAGGACCAGCATAAACATATCTTTTGGTGTTTTAAACCAGGAAGCCATATTAATACATGGAACCACCTGTTTTAACTGTTAGCGATTAATTCACTATTTTTCATACTGCCAAGGCCAAACACAACTTTGGGGGTGGGTTCAGGCTCCAGCCTTAGAGGTAAGGGTGCCTCTGGCCTAAGTGTTAAGTTCCTTAAAAGCTGAGGCCACCAGCCAGCCACTTCCATTTAGAAGCATCTTTTCATATGGATTTGCATACAATAATTGTTGCCATTTAGTGCTTAAGGTTAAGAGTTTAGGGCACTAGATCTAGTTTTAATTGGTCCGTGGCTGGCAGAAGTACAACTCTATCCTACAAATGTTACTTGCAAGCATTTTCTACCCCTTCACCATGCAATAAAAGAGAAGATTTAAAATGGCCCTCTGAATTATTGTTAATTTTCTTATGGGTGATAATGGAGTATGGTTAGCCCCCCAATATCCTCCTTTTGTATTTGTACTTTTTGTAGATACCTACTAAAACTTAGACTCAAGGATAATAATATATTCCAAAAAAAATTAAAAATATATAAAGCATATAAAGTATAATGATGGTTAAATCTAGTGATGGCGTATAGCTGGTCAAGTTCAAACTTCCCAAGTTAAAGGGAGGTGAGCTAGGACCCGTGGTTCCAGGGGCTGCAGGGTTTGGCTGGGGGTTCGGGGGGTGGGTAGATGGCAATGTCACCTGCTGTCTGCTTTGCATGTGGTGAGAGGGTTTCTCTGTGGCCTTTCTCAGACACGGACAGCTGTGAGCGATGGATGAGCTGCAAGAGCGAGTTCTTGAAGAAGTACATGCATAAGGTCCTCAATGACCTGCCCAGCTGCCCCTGCTCTTACCCCACCGAGGTGGCCTACAGCACCGCGGACATCTTCGACCGCGTCAAGCGCAAGGACTTCCGCTGGAAGGACGCCAGCGGGCCCAAGGAGAAGCTGGAGATCTACAAGCCCAGCGCCCGCTACTGCATCCGCTCCATGCTGTCCCTGGAGAGCACCACGCTGGCCGCCCAGCACTGCTGCTACGGCGACAACATGCAGCTCATCACCAGGGGCAAAGGGGCGGGGACCCCCAACCTCATCAGCACCGAGTTCTCTGCCGAGCTGCACTACAAGGTGGACGTCCTGCCCTGGATCCTCTGCAAGGGCGACTGGAGCAGGTACAACGAAGCCCGGCCTCCCAACAACGGGCAAAAGTGCACCGAGAGCCCCTCGGACGAAGATTACATCAAGCAGTTCCAGGAGGCCAGGGAGTATTAGAGAGAGGCCACCACCGGGATGGAGGACACACACGCGCTGCACTGACTGCGACCGGGAGCACCGTCCCTCTTGGCCGCCTTCGTGTGTGTTGGCTTCTAAGTCACACTAGGGATGTGCGCCAGGCCCGGGGTTTGCCATCGGAAGCCACCCTTGCCATCGAAGATGCCCACAGACCTCCGTGCAGCTCCTCTTGGGGGTGGTGTGGGAAGGAGGATGAGGACGGAGAAGCCAGGAGAACCTGGAAGCCACAGTGGGTGGGATTCAGTTCACACCCCCAGATCCAGGGTTTCCTAGCGTAGCAAAGGGAGGGAAAGAGACTGGAGTTTGTAAACATTATAAGTTTTTATCTATAACTTATTTAATATGAATGTGACTTAAGCATAACCTTTTCTCTGGAGTTGTCACCGGGAGACTGTTTCGTCGCTTCTGGGAGCGTGCAAGACAGGGCTTGGGGAGGTGGAGGAGAAAGGGAATGTGTGATGATGTCTTTAAAAATAACTCAATAGAAATATATCCAAACAAGAATACACCCACCTTAAACCAAATATTATTTAGTCATGAGGCACCTTGCTGAAGTCTCAGTGTCCAAAATGTCCTTGCCTAACTAAGAAAGGGGTTGGGGGTGTCAGGCAAATGGATGTTTTAGGCAAAAATCTGAGGCCTGGTTTTAAATAGGCTTTTAAAATAAAAGGCCAATATTAGCCTAATGCTTTGATTCTACTAAAAGGCTTCAGAATGGCAGAACTCCTGCTCATGCCTTAGTAAGTCCAGAAGGCTGCAGGAAAGTCAGACATAAAAACAGGGAAGAGCACTTTTTTCAATGATAAGAAAGCAAGATAAACGGGAAAATAACATTGGACCCCATGTCATCTATTTTATTTTAATACCATCTTAACATTTTTTTTCTTCACCAATATATTCACAGTAAATAAATATAAAAAGAGGAGGAGAACTCAAGTCTAGGAAATCCTAATTTTTTTATGTTTTAAGTGGGAAAATAACTACATTATTTTTGTAAAGTATTTATTGAGTCATTGAGTCTAGTGCATCAAGCAGTTGTAATTTGACCTGGTTCTGTGGTGTGGAACTTAGGGCAAATAAAGAGTTGGTTATTATGCAATCTTTACTTGCAAAACTCCAGGAAAAGAGAATATATAATAAAATCATAATAAAATGTGTTACCTACATAATAAATGTGTTACTGGCAAATATTTATGATGCAAATACCATGAAGAGCTCTGATGAAGCAGGGCTGTGAGGCAAGGGTGAATAAAAGGCTCATTGATTGGCGTGGTGGTGGGTAGTGTAAGTCTTAGCATCTTTGGCACCAAGAACGTCAGTCCAGCCCCAGGAGGATGAAGCTCACTGACACAGGTACAGCATTTTGCCCACCCAGAGGTAGAAAGAGCTATGAAGACCAAGCCAGAGCAAAGGCTTAAAACAGCCCAACTGAGTGGGGCTGTTTCCAAACAAAATCTGCAAATAAGTAGAACTACTCATAATGCAAATCATTCTTTTTCCAGATGACAAAAGCAAAGCTGACATAAAATAAACCACACAAGACCCTTCTTTCACATCCTAGCCCAATGCTCTTCATACTGCATCAATTATTTAGTGTCCGCATATTCCTGGTGTTTTTGTTATTCCAAGTGATCCTACCCTTAGGTTTGCCTAATAAATTCTTGTTCTCATGGAAAATCTTTTATCAGTCTTTTACACTTTAGAATGAATTATTCATGTATTGCCCACTCTCAGAATGTTTATATTTGAGGCTTATTTCCAATTATGAAATGAGAAGCCTATTCACATCCAGAGGAATTTTAAGCAACTGAATCGGTAGGAAGAGAATCAATAGATCTATATATCAGGGAAGCAGATTTGGTTTCTAATACTAGGTAAGCTATTTTTGCAAAGAGAGATCATTGCAGTGAAATGTATTACCTTTGGGGTGGTGAGTTCTCTCTAGGACAGGTATTCCATTAGAGGGTGGAGATGAAACACATGAGAACTTCAACTGAGTGAAGAGGAGAGATAAAAATGTATATCAATAACTCCCTCTAATATGTGTTCTATTAACAGTCGGTGCAAGGTATGATGGGAAATAGAAGCAGGAATCTGAGAAGTACCTGTTGGGTCTGATGGAGAATTGGTATTTCATAAAGCAACAAAGGGGGAAGATGAAGTGAATGCATTTTTTGAGTAAAAAAAACAAACAAAAAACACACACACACAAAAAAAAACACAAAACAAAACAAACAAAAAAACTACTGTATGGTCCAATACAAGCAACTAGGAAAGAGTGTGGTGTTTCCTGAAGGCTAGGATGTTTCGAGTAATGAGCAGAGAAACAAGAGTGACAAGTTCTAGATCCATGACACAAGTGTTCATGTTAAGGATTTAGAATGGGAGATTAAAGGGACCAGAGCTCTTCCCTCCTACAGTGAGGACAACTGAGAGGGGTAATGGTTCCAATGAGCAATTTTGATTCAGCGCTTGTTGATCTAATTAACTGAGAGCTGGGAGATAGGCTAAATTGGGAGCAGGGGAGAGGTACTGGACTCTTTGCCTTCTGAGAACACACCTGGCATTTTGTACCTCATGAGGATAGTCTCACACCTCTGGAAATTTGCTAAACTATAATCTGCCTCTATCAGAATAAGCTAGTTTTCACTCCCAAAGCTCTAGGAGGCCAATGAGTGATATACAGGGTCCCAAACCAGCCCCAGGGTAAACCCCAAGTAATTAATTCCCTCATGGGAAGTTTGTCAGCAGCAGAATAGGCTCTCTGCACCCTCCCCTGCAGCACCTGGAACTGTGACCCCACAGCCGCTGTTCTCATCAAATGCTGTGCTCCTTTACCTCTCCCTGCAGAGAGTCCCATTTCTAGTAATCCACTGGGCCTCTTGGGTGCCACTTGTGAGCAAACCTATAGTGGCAAACAGAGATGCCCAAGGCCCTCTAGTGGCTGCACGTGGGAAGTCCGAGGGAGAGGCTGGGTAGGTGCTGAACTTTCTCTTCAGCTGGGGTGTGTGGGCCACGATTATAGCCTCCCAAGAGTTTCTGTCTTCATAGCTCAGTGGCCAGGAGGGCGGAGTTCTCCATCCTAAGCCGAGGGATCAAAGAATAGCTACTATACCAGCCACTCTTCCTGAGCATACACTTTGTACTTCTGTGCTAATCACTTTACATGGGAGGCAGGCATATTAAATCCATTGTACAGAAGCCCAACAAAGCTAGTGAATTGGCCCAAGGTACTAACACCTCCACTGGTTGAAACCAGTTCTATCTAATCACCAAACCCACGTTCCTAACTAAAACCCCTTGTTCTACTTTCTTCCTAACTCTTCCCAAGATTCACAGGGTTGGTTGGTTGGTTGGTTGGTTGGTTGGTTGGTTTGTCTGCTTGTTATTTGTTTTGATCCCACTTACACTGCCTTTGCTCAAATTGTTCAAACTTTCCAAGTATCCCTACACCATTGTAGGATCTCACATTGGAGACAGAAAATCTGGCTTCATTTCTACATATCTGCTTTGTTCTCTCATTATACCAGAGAACTTTTGATCCTGTAGCTGAGTCCTAGCTTAGATTGGGTAGGTAGCAGAGCTCCAAGACAAGAACAGAGACTGTCTGTTTCCCTCACTGCACATAAACCTATGCTGTTGCCTATTGAGTAAACCTCATGGGTTGGTGCTATGCCTCAGCTTTCCTATAACCCAGCTCCTAGCACTGCACCTGGCAGATGTTATCAGGCAATGTGCCAAGGGTGTAAGAGTTTGAGGGTTGAATCAAACAGCCTGGTTTCCAGTCCTTGCTCCCTTATTTGCCTGCTGGGTACCAGGGTATAAGTTAACCAATCTCTAGGCATTTCAGTGTCCTCATACAGTTGTTGTGAGGATGAACTAAGATAAGAGACAAGAAGTTCCTAGAACAAGGCCTGTAATGTACCATCTCAGAGAAGGTTGGGCATTGATAGAGAGTGACTAGACAACAATTATTGAGCATCTCCTAGTTGCCATGCATTGTACCAGATGCCAAAGATACAACAGTGTACAAATTCAAGTCTTCCTGTTGGAGGATAGACAGTCAATAAATAAATAAATACATAATCTGAGAAAATGGCAAATGATATAAAGAAAAATAAATTATTTGATCACATATGTATGTTGCATTAAATTTAAAGTAATGCTAGTTACTGTAGTAGATAATCCTTAAAATCACAGTGGCTTACCACAATAAAAATCCAAAGTGCATGTTTCTGGTCCAGTGGCTCTCCTCTAAGTGACAACCCAGGAACCAAGGCATCTTCCATATTGTGGCTTAGCCATCTTCAAGTGTGACTCTCTAGGGTACCCTTGGGGTCATCTCTATTCTAGCCTGCTCGGAGGACAAAGAGCAGGTAGGGATTGCAGAAGTCAGGTAAGTAAATATTATACATCACTCCCACTCAATTGACACATATCTGTCCACTGAGCACCTCTGCAAGGAAGACTAGGAAATGGAGTCTAGTTGGAGGCCGAGAAAGCAGAGATGGGCTGTGTGAGTACCCAACCAGTCTCCACTGCAGAGGTAGACCTCCCACTACCTGATTACACAAGGCAGGAATGAAAGCTAGTGGAAAGGGCTTTAAATGGTCCAAAGTTGGTGACTAAAGAGAGAGCTCCTTCTCATCCCATCAGCACCTTCTACTTGGTATTATAGAGCTAAATCAGACCTCAATTTACTATCGATAAATTAGATAAGACCACCCATCCTACCTGCTCATTGGCAGGTGCTTTTGATGTCCTTCACATCTGCTTGGCACTTGCCATAACTGTGTATACCAGCCCAACTTTCAATTGGAAGCTTCTGCAAGCCTTATCTCGTGGCTTACTGTAGCCAGTGGGGCCCACTCAGCCTGCACAGGGGCAGACTGAGGTGCAAGTGCCTCCCAGGAAAACTTAACATTGACAAGCAGAAACTTGGAAGATCAAAGCCCAGATCCCTCACCCCTCGAGTGGGG